AAGAATTCTCTTTATTTGCTCCTAATTCTCGATTTTTTCGTTTTAACTCATGTGAAAGGCACTGTAGTAATGAGCATAATTTTTTCTATCATATAAAAATACTTCCAGAATTTTTCGTGACCCAGCTCGAAAAATGCCAGTTTTGAATGATTTCCTTCAATTGCTTGTAACTCTCGAAGCTTCTCAAAGTAATTCTTGGCAAAGTAACAGCTGTAAAAAGCTTGGATTTCTCTTTCAAACAGATATAATTTTAACGAAATCCATCGAGTGGCAAGGAAGTTATGATTTTTTGAAAATGATGCGCAAGAACTTTCGGACCAACCTAATATATATATATATATATATATATATATATATATATATATATATATATATATATATATATATATATATATATATATATATATATATATATATATATATATATATATATATATATATATATATATATATATATATATATATATATATATATATATATATATATATACATCCATACGGCGAAACTGTGCTGCCGTGAGCGTATATTTTCACTGCGACTGCAGCGGCGCACGCCGCAGGACGCGGCGTGCTGCGGCGTGCTGCGGTAGGCTGCTGCGTCCTGCGGCGTAGTATGAAGAAACCCGAAGCGGACTTCCGCCAATCCAATTTCCGCCTAAACTGAGTTGAAACTTACTATACAAAGTTCGGTAGGCTTCTCTCGTTTCATTTTCAAATCACATTTGAATGACCAGAGATTAGCTTACTCCTTCGTAATCGCAAGACTGTCGAAAATGACAGCTCCTCCTATGAGACGTAGGTGGGAAAACATCACATCTATCTTTAAGAAAAAATACTTATGAACACTTTTTGATACTTTCGCATGTCAAAAAAAGAAGGTCATTTCAAAATAATACCATAGAAATATCACTCAGATTTAACTCAGTTTTCAATACGATGCAAAATTGTTAGAAAAAATACTGGACGAATAGCTTGTATACAACGTTGGTCAATCTCTAGCTATAAAATTTGTTGTGCAGTTTTGCAAAACGATTAAGAGGAAAATATCAGAACTATGCAAACATTTTAGTTTCAGCATTACCTACAGCACATCTGAGGTGGCATGGTGCCGAACAATTTCCTCGTTTTACTCATTTTCCAAGCTTTTCGTTCAGCGTTTTTCGGTCAAAATTGGTGAGAGGGTCCTAACTAAAGCGTTGCCCAAGCAGCGTAAATGATCTACTCGCGGCTAAAAAATCCGTCTCCAGGCTCCTCGAGCCTGCGCTTAGACCGTAACTCGCGAGTGACTAGGGACGGGTCTCAGCGAGAACGTAGTGCTAAGCGGAGCAGGGTTAATTGCGGGTTATGGTCACGGCGCAGGGCTTTAAGGTTTGGGGATTTCCTAACTATGAATGCATGCCTTGCGCCGCCGCTTAGGCAGTGTTTTATTTAGGACTCCCTAATCATTTTTCATACGGAAAGCTTAAGTATCCAAATTTGCGTGGACACTGCCTCTAACACTGAAGCCCTACTAACTAGCCTCAGGCTACTCCATGACCTATTCTCCTCCATCGCGTGACGGCTACACACCTTGACTAGTCTCTTTTCGGACTTTCTTTATCGTTTATTTCCTTCTTTATCTTTATCTTTTACCGTGGTGTAGAACGGATTCGTCGCAGCAGATTATAGTGGAACGCTGATACGGCTGTTTTCGGTCAAGAGTGCATCCCCATTCCAGTCAAAGTCACAATGAGAAAGCCAATTTCCTACTATCCTTCAATCTTTCTCTTTCTTCACAATAGGCAGGTTGGCATACCTGACCGAAAACCAGCAGCTCATAAAACTGGACGACAACAATAAGAACTTAAAGCCTATAGCGCAGAGAATAACCTATTCCTGCACTTTTTCTTCTTATGCATAGAGATATATCTGATTCGAATAAAAAGGGTTTATTCGAACTAGAATAGTCGAATATTCAGGAAAGTGCATATCTGATTATTCGAATAGTCAGAGTAGAATACAAATATTCGAAAAATATTCGGTTCTGAGCAAAGTTGGCACAGGGGGAGGGGAGATCGAATCTCGGTCCGAAATCGTCATAACGGCACCTCACATCACTAAACCATTGTCCCCGAGTACAAGAACTCTAATTAGCAAAAGATTGGCGTTATGCCAATATCGATATTCGATCAGTCTGCCAAGCCTAGAAAAACCGTACATGAGTCTTTGCGGCAGGCGATAACTGTTATCGTTCCAAGCTTATATCTGCGTAGTTGAACGTGTGGTTCTTCGTCTATTCAAGTTTTATTTTTCAAACTTACCGTCTCACAGCAAAAAAGTTGGTGCTCTTTTCTTCTCTGTCACAAATAAGAGCAAATTATAAGTATCAAGTTGTGAAGTGTAAGAAGAAAAAGAGCCGACTTTGTTGTTACATGTTAAAACTAGTTCCACTTTTGATAATAACTTACGCAGAACAAAGGTTATAAACAAATTATGATCGATCGTTGTAATTGCATGATTTAAAATATTAGACTCTTGCATTTGTAGCATTTTATATTCATATTTGTTTCTATATAAAGTCCTTAGATAGTGGTTTCCAAATTTCCTCCCATCTTAACCTGGGCATTGTTAGTATGTTGTGAGTAGATTAGAAAGCCAATCGGAGTTAGTATTTATTAGTAAGTTGCGGTAACGTTTCGAGCTATTCGTCTTCTTCAGAAGCCTCCTCCACCGCCGGCGCAGATGTTGAAAGCGGCAGTCCTTCAGTGCCATCGATACCAATAGCTGGTATGGTATAGATGGTAATTGGTATAGATGCGCATCTTCCGCTTCATACCGAAATCGCAGGTACGAGTCTTCATGTTTATTTTGAAAAATGGTTTCTAATTGATGCAAATAGATAAGGAATGCACAGACAAGGAAGTTGGCAATACCAGCATGTGCTTGGGGTTTTATGTAATCGAACAATTTTCCTACATCATTGACCCCTAAAAAGCAGGTAGATAAACAGAAATTGTGCGTAGAATTTGTACGGTCCAGATTGTACATTTGAGAAAACCTGCATGATAGGCAGATCCAAAAGGAAGCGCCAGCCGACACCGACGAACGGTACCTTACCTGGAGTTTATTATGCACCAATGCTTGACAGTTGAGCTAATACGCAATCCAGTTGCTATAACTTCTGCTTTTGCGTTACAAGTGACACTAGGTTGGGACATAAGCATTGCACCAAAGATTTAAAAAATTCCTTCAAAAATAAAGTGCAGCGTTTTATTCAGTATAGCATTTTTTTCGTTGTATATGGTATATGATTCATGCACTATACTATCGTGCAAATCGAGATTAAATCAAACAATAAAGTAACTCAACAACCTAAAATTCTTCGCCTACTTGGCTACTTCGCAATACTGCAGAATTGGGTAGGGGAACGAAAGCCGCCAGTTTGGGCCGCCTCCGCGGACTGCTGGTCCTGGAACGACATGCAACAACACTGCGAAAGGACCAGTTGGCCGCGAAAGGCGGCTCAAACTGGCGGCTTTCGTTCCCCTACCCTGCAAAATTCAGAGAATACCCAGACTTGACCATATCAATTTAGGACTAGATTGTTTAGTTTTTCTGATAGATCCTTCAACAAACACAATACTAATATGACTCCATAAAAGAGCATGAAAAACTGCATCGAATTTTACCAGTATCTTACATACAAGCTGGTCCGCGAAATATGGCGCCTTTTTCAAAGAAACGCAATCACTTCCGGAACAAGCACAGTTTTTAGGCAAATTTCCATCTACAGGTAGCCTTACCACATGGAAAGGTATGGCAGTTTTGCAAAAAAGCTCATAACTTCCTTTAAAATAAGCGCCGCAGCTATTAACAGCATATTTGGGATTAGCGTTTGAAGCTGACTCCAAATATATGTACCTCATCTCGAAACGCGATTCTAAGTTACCTGACATCCCTTGTACAGTCTGCCCCAATCCCAACCAGGCCAAAATTGGCATGGCGGGAGTCGTCCGCGTCGCTAGGGTTTCGTGGTCCGCCCACGTCCTGCTTCTCTGCTCTCTCTTCAGTCCTTTTGATCTCTCCGACCGCACGCATATGCAGCGCAGACCGTTAGCGCTGCGAGCGCGCAAATCTACGCCGACGGTTCGGCCTGGTCCCAGTTGGAGCAGACTTTAAGTTACTTTCACGGTCAGACCGTTTAACAAAGAGGTGACGATAGGAACGAAAAACTCCAAACTTACTGATTAACCTGAATACTGTAATTTGAGCTTGTGCATGTCAAGGGAGCGAACAATTTTCAAAGCATATTCATCTATGTCAGTAAATAATCGGTACTTTTTTCGGATTCATTTCTCACAAAAGGATATTGCTTTTCTCTTTGTATCAATTCTGGTCCCAACTTCACAGGAAAGAGTGTCAACCTCTGCCACGTGTCAAGAAAATTGGCATGTCATCCACATGTTTAACAGGTCTTATGACAAGTTTGTTCTTCCTACCTACCAACGTAGGTTTGACCTGCTACCTGATCAATGACTCCAATTCGTTCCAGTCTTTGTGAAGATGAACATAAACATTATGGGATGTCATCCTAAACATTTGAGATTCCGTCAGAACAAAGAAAATCGCTAAATTACATCATCTGGGTGCCGAAACAAGCGGCAACGGTAGTTCAGACCACCATTTTATCTTTCCTGGCTGAATTCGCATGGCGAAAAGTTTAGAAAGGAAAATACTTTCAAAGCTAAAGCGGCCAAGATGTTCTGATAAACGGTTGGATTACGTTGATTTATAAAAGGAAAAAGATTGAACAGCTTTTGAGATATATCAGATGCCTGTGTATCTCACCATGTCAAACAATCAATTTTTTTTTTGATTTTTTCCTGACACGCAGCGCTTATAAATTTTATTAATAAAATTTTTTACGTTAAAGCACGTATCTCATGATAACTATTCGAAATGGTGTCCGGATAACGGTACCGAACAATCTTGAACAAACGTATAATCAATTCAAATAGACATCAAAATGTGGTGGTGTGCCGTGTATGGAAAGCTGCAGATTGGAACGCCGTGGATGGCGGCTGAAACAATGACGTATTGCTGTCTATTTCTAGTAAGTGATTAATTTACAATGGTTTACCTTTGCTGGTTTTCGAATGAGTTTTCGGAAGCCTTTGTTGAAGGTGATAATGATGAGGCTGAACAGTTTACTTCTCTGACTAAAAAACAGAAATGCTATCTTCTCCTCAAAAGAAAGGCATTAAATGTATTATATTTGGAATTTGAAGGTATGTAGCAAGATTTATAGAGTTTTAAAAAGTATGTACCTATTGAAAAAACTCTTCTCCCAAAAAGAAATCTGCGACTTCAGTTACTATTATTCGAAGGTTGCTCCAGCTTAGATTCACATGAAGTATTTGATTGATCTTCCTCCATTACTGTAGAGTTACGGTAGGTGCATGAGGGAAGGGGTTTTCGTGCCGATAAGCACCAAATTTGCTTCAGGAAGAATATCAAACAATGCAAAAACCTTACTCTGGATAATCTAAGACAATGAATTCAAACATAAAGTCCTCACTTTATGGGAAAGTTTCATTCACGAGTTATGCCTGTAATCCGTAGCAGCTAATCCTCCTATGTCTCTCAAGAAGTTTTTACGTTAAAAAGGCATCAAATGGTTTTCGGAAGTTATGTAGCGAAATCAGCATGCGCGAACATTTTTAAAAACACAACTTTCTAATTATTTCAAAAGCTCAGATGATCGACGGGGGCAGGCGGTCCGCAAACTCGCGCTTTTCTGCAGGCGGCCAGCAGAATTTTGGGGCGTGGTCAAACCTTCAGCGGACGGCACTTCCTTTAATGTCGCATATACTGCAAGCGGGCAGTAATACCATTTTCTGCAAGCGCTCGTCAAGTAATTTCTTCCAGCGAGCGCTGACCAAACTTTCAGCAAGCGCTCGGACTCTTTTTAGGCATTTTCGGGCGTACGTCGAGCGAAGGTGAGTCTCTAATTGGTAGAGGTGCCATCGATGGTTTTATTACCTAAGTTTGTACCTTTCTTCAGCGGAAGGTACCTAAGGGCTGTGCGGTCCTTCACAAAGGACCGTTCGGCCCTCAACATTTTTGCATATTCTCGCGGAAAGTCCACGAGAATGCAGCCACTGCGCCGCAGCTAATTTATGATTAATCCTCACACGTTGGCTCAAAAAATGTCTAATACCCTCCCAAATATCTGCAGGCAGCAGGCGGACCGCAAGAAATCAGCGAACTATTTTTCCGATGCCCGCTTGCTCAAAATTCGGCCTGCCACCGGTGATTATCTGAGAGTATTTTGACCCTATTTCTTAGGTGCTCTATTTTTTTACCGTATCTAACGATACGGGTTTATCTTACGTTCTACAGAATGGTTAGCATAAGTTGGCAAAAGACTTTGTAGAAAGAGAGATATTGATATTAAACAGCGTGTACACGCTTTTGGACCCTGTATTACAGTATACGCAGTTCCCAAACTTTGGGTAGAATCTTACGGATCGATCAAATGCAGCAAATTCCAGGCAACAGCTGTAAAAGCCCACACCGTCCATTTGCTATTGAAAACTGCGACCAGAAAAGCCACGCATAAAATCTGCGTTGCAAATGCGGCAGCTTGTGCTATAGCCTGCAAAGAAATGTAATCGAACTTTTAAGTCTAATATTATTATTTTTCATACTACTGCATGAAATTCAAAAAATCACCTGTTTTAATAAGTTAAGCTCCATCAAACGTTTTGCATGCAATTCACCGCTCATACTCTTAGCCTAAATTATGGCGACAATCTTGCATATGTTTGAATCTTTCACATAGTAGAAATTCACTGCTTTTGTGGTGCGCCGGACAGCCAATATAGTTGCAAAGTTGAGCAACCCCGTCATGCCAAGAATACTAAAGTCCTTGGAGGAATAGAAGTTGCGTGCAGGATAACATGCTGTTTGCTGAAAAAGTGCATAAATTTGTAAGTATTATAGCCGTTACAGAAGAAATATTACCTCATCGGTAACAAAGCCGAAAGTATAGACCGGGTCTTTGTAGAAGAGAGAGCAGCTCACTGAAACAATCCTACAAGATGGTTTAAACAACTTTTTTTCCCAGCTCTCCAGAAAATGCGATGTTTTTGAAGATATGGTATGAAAGTCTCCAACTAGTAGTTCTCATCATTAATAAAAGCAAGTGTTTTTCTTTAATAAAGTGATTAGTGTTATTAGCAGATTCATCATAATTTTTATAATATTGCAGGTTTGAAAAGCGAAAACTGTATATTAAGTTAAGTTTCTTTAATTGCTGCACTACACCCTATACTTGAGCCCGAATCGCATAAAAATTGCAGTAGAACATTCGAGTACATTTGCATTCGAAACCCGAAACACAGAGTTTTCCATTTTCGAGTAAAGCTCGAAAGCTGAACATTCAAAAAACGGGTTTCATGAGTTTTTCGAATGTTTTGTTTAAATGTTTCATTCAACTTCGTGTTCAGATGAAATTCGTATTTTAATAATTTGAATGTGGTGCAGAGCCAACTGCTGAGTTTTCAAGCACGCGAAGCTACGATGCTGAAGAAGAGTTTTCTGGGCACAGCATAGAAAATTATATCACCTGCTTTTTCTTTAGATCGCTCGATAAGGAAGTAAAATATGACTAATATATAGTCTGTGTTACGGATCTTATGAATAAAAATCTAATTTGTCAATTTTATCGACTTTTGTAAAACTTTAAGCTAGGGATCTGGGACTTGACACAGCTGGGTGAGGGTTCTGATTATGGATCAATCGGCTCTAGCGGGTATGCCAGTAAGTTTTATAGATGGTTGCTGTAGATATTCAATAAATCATTCGAATGTCTATTCGAAATTCAACACTCAATGCTCGAATATAAACAATAAACATTCGGTATTTTTGATTTTCGAATTTTATACGAAAATCAAAATTATCGAATAATTTCGTTTGAATTCTGTCAAATTTTTTGAATTCGAATTAAATCGATATTCGTTTATTCGAAATATTTTTTCAAAATTAATTTGCTATTCATGCATTCGAAAAAAATCTCAAAATCAATCAAAACCAGATTCCGTCGAGTACACTTCGCACTAAAAAACGCATTATCTGTTTGCTGAGTATAAAAGCGATGATCATGACAGCATCAGAGGCACAGGTCTTCCCTCCCCCCAAAGCAGTAGCATTGGGTATACTTGGATCTGTTTGCAGAGGCCATGAAGGTAGCTTCCGGGCAAAATTTCGAACAAATTTTTTTCCGCTTACCTGGGTTCTTTGACTACGAAAATGCAGCTTGCAGAGTGCGAAAATGTCGAAAACGGGCTATTCCAGAAGCCCTGATTTAGAATTGACGCCTGCCGCCAAGGTTGAGAAGCAGAGTTGGTGGAACCCTCCTTGACTGTGTGCGATATATATGTACACACTCTAGCTTGTCGATTTATCTCTCGATGGGCGGTCTCCGATCGTGGCGTAGCTCTCCAAGCTTCTGGAGCATTTTTTTTGCTTCCGGTTCCATGAGATGTGCCGCGATTGGGCTGATATGTTAAGGCGGCTACCTTTAGGCGACAGTGATATCCCAACTATCTCCCCCCCCCTGCTCCGGACACTGCCTTTAAGAGCTGGCACGCCAGTCAATCAAACAGACTTCATTTTCGCGATCCGCAATAATGGTAAAAGAATGCCAAGCAAGCGGTTTTTTTTAAATTTTGCTGCGCCCAAATTGAGCGCGACAAACGTAACAAATTGTGAGTCCTGTGGCGTACGCGGACGTTTGCTTGCTTGAAAAGTAAGGTCTGAGCAGTTTATATTGCCATGAAAAAAAAAAGAGATTTGGTGACTTTTGTGCAGAAAATAGTAGGTTGTCCCATACCATCCGTTTTAATTTTCAATCGCAGTAAGCATGAATTCTTATCTCTAAATAGGTTTCAAGTCACCCTTTGATAGAGCAAAGCAAGCTCTACAAGATGGTGCTCTTGCTTTCGCACCAGATCAAATCCATCTTGAGTTTGAAGCCAAAAACTAAGACAATCCGACCGCCAGAAAAATAAGGAAAAAATCGTAACTCCGTTTAAGAAACTTTCCAACTTGCTCACAGATACACTATCCAAAACGAATATTCATGTTTTTGCCAAAATGATGCTGTGCTGTTCTTACAGTGATAGTTATACTACAGAATGGTGAAAGTTCAGAAATGAATTTTCAGCGCTTCACGCTATATGTAGTTCTCAAGAAAATCAAATTTAGGCTTTTTTAGTTTTGCTTTTGGTCAACAAGATTGCTGAACTCCTATTTTTGGATTGCATCAGTCAGCAGTCACTTGCTCGTATATCATAATGATTATTCAGGCCTCAGAAGACGGCTTGAAAATGTTAAGTAAGTAAAGTGCGGCATAACAACAACCTGTACGGCACGATAAAAGCATCATGATTAGCTGTAGAAAAATGCTCGGGGTTCAGGTTAAGAGAGCACTTACTGGGAATGGTCAGTACTCGAAATGGCCAATCCAAACAAGCTGCAGTTGTTTGGATTGTTGTTTGTTATTTTATTATTATTGTTATTTTATTTTTTTTATTTTTGCGGTTCGATGCAGCATAGAACGTTGATTTCAAATCTGTCTTCCTTATGTGCAGTGGGCCTTTGTAGGCAAAGCTATGAGCAGCTTTACTGCAATAAAATCCTACACAAAAATTGCGAAGTTAGGCACATTATTGCTCTTTCAGCTCACCTCTAGATACGGGCCATATGAAATGACCTACTTGTTTTGGTTCAACATTGAATTGAGAATGGCTTTGTACGGCCAAGTCTGCTTTTTACACGCACAATTTCTTAGCAAAATAATGGCCTTCAACGGCCTATAATATCATCCACAAAAGTGCTCTGCAGATAAGGAAGACAGATTTAGAGTAAGCATTTTATGTTGCATTTAATGGTATGCAGCTTGTATGGATTGGCCACTTCGACTTCTAACCATTCCCTTGTCAGTATAAATGTGGCATAGGGTTTGCGAGAATAATGCGTTGCAATGAAATAGCTAATCATAAAGTCAGATGGTCAAATTTTTATACTTGATATTTTCAATTATCATTTCGAATGTGTCACACGTTATATGAGTAAAATAATTGTATCGTAAGACAAACCGTACGAATTTATGAGGAAGGTGGAAAGCGCGGATATTATCCAGGTGAATACAACCATAGCATTGGTGTTTGATACGCTGAAATATTACTTTAATGGATTTTGCATATTGAAACTTCAAGTATTGAACATAGGACAAGCATATGCAGCCCTAGCACATAACTAACTTGCCCTGTGATGTTTCATATGAGTTTTTCAGAACTACTTTCGCACTCAGTGCAAGTATGTATTCGTAATCACACATTCACTCTAAGCTAAAAGTTATCAACAATTATTGTGAGTCACCATATATCCAAATGTGTGAGAAAATACCTGCTCACATTCAAAAAAGTGTAACAGAAATCAAGAAAAATCAGAAGGAAAGTAATTCAGCGCATCTAACCGAAATTTTTTTGATATAACTTAGGAATACGAATATATGCCTGGTTTTTTTCAAAAATTTCTTAATTAAAATACTATATATCATTTGAAAAGAGATTTTTCCTATGTTCGAGATGTTGCAACGCTGCAGAGCATGACCAATGGACATATGTCTCAATTCTCCTTGTCATAAGCCTGACAAGGATGCTTGTTGCCTGCTTCATCGAGTTTGAGTTTCAACATGAATAGCCTCGCAAAAACAAAGTTTGCTCGATCTTGTTTGGTATTCATCATACCCAAACCTTGCCAGACTATCGTCAACTCCTAAATTCAGTTAAAGGCGCAGCATTGCAGACATTTGTCAACTTTGGTGAACGAATCTCCACGTGAAAGTTTTACCTCAAGCGTTCTCGCTAGTGAAAACTTTTCGCTTTGAGCTGCCACCTTCGCTGAATCTGTGAGCTGATGATACAATCTCAGACTATTTTCGGAGGGCCTTCTCACGACAAAAAAGTTTACCTGAAAAAAATCTCATAGCGTGTTGGTGCGCATATCGCACACAGTCGATTCAAGGCAGTGAAGAGATGGGATAGACTGCAGATGGTATAAGTAGTACTAAGAACAAATCCGGCGTAATTCGACTTGTCCATCATTATCGATATGTTACTGAAATTGTTAGTAGTAAGTACGGCAAACTTATTTGTTCAGAGATTTGTTCTGAAATAAAGTGTTAGGAATTTGATAAACGAAAGAAAAATAAATCAAACTTATAAAGTAATTATTTGTTAAGACTGAGGTCGGCAACATTATATAACAGCGTTCACTTACAAAAAGACCATCGGAGAGTAATAGAAAAGATATGTACAACAAAATATACATTCTCCGGCGGCTTGACTAATACAAAGTCGCCGAATGCATTTTTCAAAGAGGTCACCTTACTGGCAAATATGGCCACTGTCATATTGAGAATCAATCCACACAGCGAAATCTGCAAAAGTCATCATTTCTCAGTTTATGCGAGTCGGGGAACATCTTACAGCGCCTTTTTTTCCTTACCACAAATATGACGACAGCAGCTATCCACCTCTCATCCATTTTCAAATTTTTGCAAGCCGTTTACTAAAATCTGATTTTGAAACACACGCAATCTGTCACAGTCAATACAACAATGTGCTGATTTGGACGCACATAAAAATATCTTAACAAAAGCTTGGATAACGGGCCCTTCAGATAAGTTTGCTGCATCAAGCACATGAGTTTGGTACAAAACGACCTGCTTGATTTGATTGAAAGCGTTTGTAGCTTCCGTTGCTCCCATTACGTCAATCCCAACAATTTCGGTCTGCAGCGGATGTTTCAAGTGAATAACAATCATTGTTAATCGTTCAACG